TTCAGTCGGATACAGGGTACGAAAGTTGCTTCCGTCGTACTTTCGTATAGAATCGAACACCACCGTGCGCGCTGGCATGTTGACTCCCATAGCAAAAGTTTCTGTCGCGAATAGTAACTAAAAATGCGATAAAATGCAATTTCGTTACACCTTCTTAATTTTTGCATATTTCCAAGACTTGAAGATTACTTAAGACTTTTTAAAAATGTGCTTTAATTTTTTCTTTCTGTTTTTTTCAATGTTTCCTCGCAAAATTACCTTCACAACTCCACTCTGAAATAACATTTCTACGATCTCTCTCAAAATTGGCAGTATCCCACTATGATGTATACCCACTCCTTTTCCTAATAGCTCTTGCATCATAAGTACTTGTGGTAATTCTCTGTCGCTACCCTTCAGGTGTTTTATGTTAGATTGGAAAAATACATGTACTTGATGCTTTTCCCTCGCAGTCGTTAAATCAAGATTTCTTAACGTAGCAGCATTCATATCACAGCGTTTCCTCGACAGAGTAAATACGACAACGGGTAACATATCCTAGAAAATTGCATTATTCATATAAAAATAATTATCACATAATTTCTCTGTAGAATAAAAAGTATGCAGTTAATAACAACGTACATTGCTCTGAAGATGGCTTACAAATGCTCTCCATAATACCTCTTCTTGTTTCGGCGTCATTTGAATTCTTCTTCTACAGTCCTTTGGGGTTTTGTCTTTCTTTTTATCGGATGTATTTGTCGCTTTGTACCATCTGGATCAAGTATTAAAATATCACTGTATCATTATCATGCCTCTCTTGCTTTCACTCAAAAATATATAAAGGTAGGAAGAGAAATGACTTACCCATCCAATAAAAACTGGCCGTTGCTATCAAGGACCAAGAATTTGTCATCCTTAGTCTTACCGTCAGTGCCAGTGTACAAGTAATGTAAAAGAGGTATGGGTCTTTTCAAAGTGCTAATCACGTACATCTTTCGCTTTTTGATACGACCGACCCAATCCGCAAATATTATTGGATTTGGTACAGTCGCAGATAACATTACTATATTAATATTCTGTGGTAAAAGAATGACTATTTCTTCCCATACGTGACCTCTCTAAAAGTACAAAATAATTTTTATAGATTGTCGGATTTTTTGTAGGTATATACGCGCCATTCCCTATAAAATCAGCATTACGCACATCTTCATTATTTATATAATGCACTTCGTCAAATATAACAAATTCTAGATCCCGTAGAACATCGGATGCACAATACAACATTGATTGTAGGATCTCCGTTGTCATGATTAGACATGAAGCAGTTTGATTTATTTGTAAATCACCTGTTAATAACCCAACGCTTTCAAACTTTCTCTTAAAATCACGATATTTTTGATTTGACAGTGCTTTTATGGGAGACGTATAAATCACTCTGGAATGACATAAAAGGTTATCAGGAAATTAATATCTAGCTATCTGTGACAATAGTATCGCAAAGTTAATTTTTAACCTTACTGTATAAACCTTATAACTTTACCTCGTCATATGCTTTTGGCTCAATGCAATGGCATATTCAGCAACAGTAGTCTTTCCCGCTGATGTATGCGCAGCAACGAAAACGTTGCTATTCTCTTCCAATTTAAGAATAGCTTGTTTCTGAAAGGTGTCCAGTTCATAATTGAATTTGATTGCTGGGTCAGGTATTCTCTTGTCAAAGTCAGTTACTGGTGCGGATACATCAAGCTGCTCCGCCCATTCTGTCTTTGAAAGTTCTGTTTGTTTCTCGGATATTTTCAAGACAGGTATACTTATATCTTTGGGTAAAGTAGAATTTTCTTTAAAGGGAATGTTGCTGTCCGAAACTTGAACGTTCTCTTTTCTCGGCTCCTCAACTGAAGACGATGAGCCAAGCAAATTTCCCTCCTCGTGTACAACAGACATTAAATTTATATTATCATTATTGATTATTAATTTTTCAGTTTCTTCAGACAATGAAATTTCTGTTTCGTTCCTCGTGCAATTGATTGGTGTGCAATTGTCACTTTCAAATTCTAAACCCGAGCTAAATCCTTTGGCTAATGTCCTTAAATTCTTCTCGAAGTCAATGTCGTTAATAACGATTTCATTTTCAGGTACTTCAGGCTCTTCAAAACCACCAGGCCAAAATGGAATATTACTAGGATTACCTGCGGGAGATATAGCATTCACCTAATATATGCATTATTTTGCAATTATGCCTTGATTGATGTATTACAATTTCAACGAAGAGAAATACATGTCGAGATAAAATTAAGAGTACCTCGAACTCCGTCTGCAAGTGATCCAGGCGCACGAGTCATAGACATAGAATTCCTTGCCGTTTCCCCTGCACCTTGTAAGCAGATCTCTTGTATCTCGCCAATTTTCCCCGTTACTGGATCACGGTCAAATCTCAGCGTGGTACTGACCGGAGCCAAATCAAATTCCAACAACGAAAGAACATCTGCTCTGCGTGGCCAATAACGTTGGGTACTGTCCAGCTGATGTATAGGTAATCGTTCAGGGCATTCAATGTATTCCCGCAGTTCTGATTTAATATCAGGCCAGATGGGTGGAGGCTCGGTAAACTGTGAATCAATATAGATAAATACATAAAATTGTAACAAGGAGGATATATAATATATTTGATATATTAAGTAATAATTACTCGCGTCGATTCAGTCATCGTTATTTCACAAATCTCCTTTGTTTATTATATATTCATATATTAATTTTTCTCTCTTTGCCTAATTTAAAGTATAAGCTTCGTATAACTGTCACATAATTGATACGTTAAAATAGTAATTTGACTCAATTAGCAGTAATTAAATTATGTGTATTTTAAGTTTGTACACGTATATATTTAAATCTTGAAGTACATAATTAATTTTTACTGATTGTAAAATTATAACCTCGCCAACACAGGCAAAATAGGTTAGGCGAGTAACGAGGATTTCCTACTAAGATCCCCCCAAACAGCCTAAACTCCCCTCCTGAATTCAGAGAGAAACCTGACGGCCTGAACCACTTTTAATTTCGTGCATAAAAAATTATTTTAACATAAATTATTTAGAACTTTAGATTAACCAAAAAAATCGAAGTTGACCGCGGCAATCGCGGCGCGCGAGAAAAGCGCCTCCGCCATCTTGATTACGTCCCCCTTCCTCTTCCGTTGTTCCATTTCCAGAACGGCGGCGCTGGCGTCGGCGGCGACAGACACAACGACGCAAGACGGATCGGCTCCGTAATGAGTAACGTCGCGCGACTCGTTTAATTGATTAATTGGTAAGAGTCACGGAGTAACGTATATTTATTTATTACTTAAAATGCAGTATCTATCGCGCAGCATAGATTCAGCGCTCGGGTATTAATAGTTTGTAATAACACGTATCTCGCGTACTTGCACTGACTTGCACGACGTATCGCGCGGACAAGCGCGAGAGCAATGATCGTATTTTCGAATATCGCGGATATCACCGAAGAGTATTAATATGCCTATTCGTTAGGCTGCAAAACAATCGTAATAAAAGCATGTAATCAGCATATAATATTTCCGAACAATCCGAACTCGAAGTTCGGAAAATTCATAAACGTGAAATTAGGAGCGAGACGCGTAGCGACGCGGCGGGTCGCGGCGACGTATTTGGCGCGTGAAGTTAGCCGCGCGAGAGATGACCGCCATATTGATGACGTTCTCCTTTCATTTCCAGAACGCGGCGGACACAAGACGGATCGGCTGAATCGGTTCCGGAGCGAGTGACGTCGCGACTCATTAAATTGGTAAGCATACTAGATATTAACTTTGCACGCATTATATTCACTGCAGTACCTATCTATCGCGTGGTATAGATTCGACACGTTCGAGTATTGATGATTTCTTAATAATACGTATTCTGGGATACTCGTTCGGCCGAAGGCGCATCGCGCGAGCAATCGCGAAAGTGACGACCGTACTTTCGAGTGTCGCGAATATTTGCCAAAAATATTAATACGCTATTAGCTAGAATGCAGAATAACAACCGTGATAACAGAGGCGAGTTTATAATATTTAATTTTCGAAGTTCGGAAAGTTCGTGATCGCAAAGTTGAGAGTGGGACGCGTATTAGTGACGCCGCGCGCCGCGGCGCTTTCGGCGCGAGTTGACCGCGCGCGAGATACGAAGCGCCTTCGCCATATTAATTTATACGTTCTGCTTTTCCAGAATGCGACGAATACGAGACGGAGATGAATCGGCTCCGAACGAGTGGCACGACTTATTTAATTGGTAAGTAAGTAACATGCATTAACAAAAAATCTTTTACGCCATCTTACACAGATATACATTTCGTTGCATTTTTATTTGAAATATCGCTGCGATATTAAACGTGGCATAATTTCTTCTGCATTTATTTCTCCGCTGTCACAATATAATTAAGTACGCTTTGCGTGTGATTAATATCGGGTATAATATGTACCTGATATAATATGTACTATTACTATTATAAATTTTAAGTGTTTAGAAATATTTGATATATTAACAAGTAATATTTGATATATATTTGTCAATATTAATCATGTTATAAATACATTATACATGTTAAATATTTAAATATATAATTTATTATAATTACATCATATACAGTATATTGCATGTTTAATACATTATCTAATAAATAAAATATTTTAGATTATACTTTTAAATATTTAATAAATTATTTATGACATGATTAATATCAACAAATATATATAAAATATTACTTGTTAATATATATTTCTATTTTTAAATAATTTCTAAATAATTAAAATTTATAATAGTTTAGATTATATCAAAATTAGACTTTTTTCTTTTTAAATTTTATACAAGTTAATAATATTTAAAAAAAGCATTGTCATTAAGATGTTATTCTTTTATTAAAAATTTATTGAAATTACGAATAAAACTTGCGTGCAAAAGTTATTTTCTTATTTTTATTTTAAGCATGTGTTTCTCTTAATTTCTTTCTCATATTTGTCCAAAGTTAAATATTTTATAAATTAGTGCAAGCAAGCAATATAGTAGATATATATCTATAAATATTTTTTGAATGTGTGTATATTTTAGACATTATTCTATTTAAATATTTTCGTATGTTACAGATCAATTTTGTATATAACGCCTGTGTGAGTAAAGAAAAGGGTTCAGATGAAAGAACCCTAGGAAGGAAGCCTAGGAAAGGTATCGGGCGTCGTTGGAGTAACATTGCGGTAAGCATTATTACTTATTTGTACTAAAATTAGTCGTTTTGTTTTGATGATTTAAAAATAATAATTAGAGAAAAAAATTAATCTGAAATTTTATAAAAATTTATTCTTGGGCAGATCCTTTTTGAAAAATGTATAATTATTTTAATAGATATTTAATGAAAAGCCATTAAGAAATTTTATGCATGTAAGAATTATCTTTTGAATTATTGATTATATTTTGAGCGTTTTAATTTGAATTTTATGTTTATATATTACAGAATCATCGTGGCGCTGATCATACATACGTGGCTGACAACTCCACTGTCGATTGGTGAGTGACAAAAAGCATTATTAATGAGATAACAGATCTGTGAAAAATGTATTAGATATATATATTTACGTATCATAATTGTATTACAAATAAGTATAGAATCTCATAGATCCGTTTTATCTTAAAATGGATGAGCCATAAAGAATTATGACAAATATTTCATCTCGGACTCGTTTTGCGTTATTTAATTTGGTGTACTAATGTGCTTGAAGCTACGCTCGCACAGGTACACAGAGAAAGAATACAATAAATAGAAATTAACGGATCCTTATTTTATTTGTCTGAATTCTATTGTTTAGGAAAAAAAAACTTTATATTCTTTCAAGTTAAAACATTCAATATATATATTATTTTTAATATATTTAAAATAAGTATAGTTCAATAAACTTTATAACGTTAAAACTTTAAAATGGGTCTTTATTTTAATTCTATTAATAATAATATTAATAGAATTAAAATATAAGGACCCGTTTTATATAAAGTGTAAAAGTTTTAACGTTTTGAAGTTATTGTGAAGCTATACTTATTTTAATATATTAAAAATAATATATAGATATCTATATATTGAATGTTTTAACTTAAAAAAATGTAAAGTTTTTTTTCCTAGACAATAAAATTCAAACAACAAAAATAAAATATTTATATCTATATCTAGAGTTGTAGCTTAATAAAGACAAATAGTTCCATAGATATTAGAAAAAATTATGGAAACTTTTTTTTGTGTAAATGTACGTATATGCACGTATATATATATGTGTTTCACTCCGTTCTGTCTGCTTTCAATTTTGTCCTGTCTTTATGTTTATTCTTTTTTCGCAGTCTCTGAATATGCTTCTTCAGTTTACCTGTATTTTTCAATTCTTCATACTGTGAGACCAAATCCAAGACTTTCTTCTCAGCTGCAAAAGACAAATAAGATAAAATAAAACAATATAATATCAATCAGTATTATGTTAACGATAAGCTAAACTTACATTTTTTCTTGAAGACAGGCTTTTCTCCTCGTTTAACAGATTCTAGTAGCTCTTCCTTTTCTTGCCGCTTCTTTTCTGCTTTCTCTTTCCTTTTCTTTTCTTCCCTTAACTGATTTTCAAGCCTCTGAATGAGATATTTTATTTTCTTTATAGCTTTTAGATCTGTCGTTTCTTTCAATTCTTTTTGTAAAGTTTTGAGGTCGTTTTCCCGTAACTTGTTAATAAATGCATAAGAATGTCTGAAGGCCTTCTCATCAAACGTACCACATAAACTATCAAATCTAGGATCCCGAGATACAACTTTTTTGACTCGAGTTAACTCTTTATATCTGAGAACTGGCTTTTTAGCAGAAATCTCTCGTGGCCTATTCTTATTTTCCCGTTTAAACTCTATTTTCTCAGTTTTTTTCTTACTTTTTTTTCCAAATATCGTCTCATTATATACCTTGGTACCTAATTTCTCCTTTAATTTCTGTAAATCCTCAAAACTCATATGTTTTAATTCTTCTCGTACTTGTTCCTAAAACATAAACAATTCAGAGCATGTTACCACCCACGAATATATAAACTTTTCTTGTAATAATAGTGCTGTTAATTAAAATTAACCTAAATAAAAGCATTTAATAATATGTATTATAGTAAAAATAAATAGTGAAAATGAAGAAAAACTTACATGATCTTTATCTTCTGTAAGTAAAGACGCTTCCTCATCATTCATGTTGAGGCCTAAGATGAATAATGGAATACAAATTTATGAATCTCTGTAACAAAATACAATTTTTTTTTATTTAGTGTTTAATGTGACGTCAACTCTGTGTTTAGGTTTTTTGACACTTAACAAAATGCAATACCACATTTTTAGGTTAGGATTTACAGTTTGTTCATGTACTTAAGAAAACAACAAGAAGATTAGGAAAAATATATTTGTATAAATACTATAAATTGTACTCACATCTCCACTAGTACTCTATTGATCATACGAGTGCTTAAAAAGTTAAATCACACATTATAAATTTTATTTGTACGCAGAGTTTACACAAATCACAGATCAGACAACAGAGCAGAATGAGCGATGTTTCTCGATTAATCGAAATAACGATAATCGATAATTTGCCTTTTGATTAATCAATATTTGATTTTTCTCTCAACATCGACAGATCGACACACTGACTTTTTCCTTTTAATTAAATATAATTTAATTAATATCATATATTTATTAATGTGACTTATAGCTGCAGATTATATATTAGTTGAACTAATTCTTTTTTTAATAAATAAGTGTTAAAGAAAGTGACAGAACAAAAATAATTAAGGAACATATGTGGTTACCTATCGGGGATACATTATACATATCGCTTTATGTGTTATATATCACTTTACCACATTACACATTTTATGCATATCACTGCACTGGCGTTAAATGTATACATGAATCTATTGCGATCGCAGTAAAGTATCCCTCACCGAATCGGGAGAGAGAGGGATATGACAATGGGAGGGATTATTATTGCTTAATATTGGTAATATTATTGAAATTAATATGTTGTATTAGGGGAGATCAGTTTTTCAGTTTCTGATTTTTAATAAAAGAAACTTTTCAGAATAACCAATAGAAGTTGGCTATTTCGATACTTAATGGTCGGTTAGAAGTTAACAGATGTTGGAAATAGTGACTCCAAGTCGCTCGATTCTTATATATTTTATTGGTTAGTATTGTGATTAATGATATTAAACGTTGCATGAGTGTTATGACAAATTAGAACACATAATAAAAATTAATGAATATAGCACTGCGACAATAATTCTAACTAAATTTAATATCTTCAAATCAAACCAGTAGTTTGCCGAGACAACCTTTATATTGTATTAACTAATCAATACTATTGTAACTATTTTAACATACTGAGTTTACTGTTAACTTTTATCATCGTCCATCACTACTCGCAGTGTTGTAAAATAGGAGAGTATAGTTGAAAGATACTGTAACATACAACAAAGTAAGTTTTTGATAATACATAAAAATGTATGTGCTATTATTCTTTACGCATTTTAAAGTAAAAATACATACACTTATTACATCTGTTAATAATTCTTTAATAAATAATTAAGTGAATTAATTATGAATAAAAAACTAACGAAGGAATAAATTAGTAAGAAAGATTAATAATAATACAGTATTCTGACTTTTTATAGCAATGTCAAAATAATTTGTTAATTAAAAAAATAATAATACTTTAATTACGGAATGATAAGACGTACAAAAATTTAATATACATGATATTTTTATAACTTACGCTTTGATACTAAAATTCTTGACTTTAATCAAAATAAGTAAATGAAGAATATAATGATATGATAATTATATACTGCATATACGATGGTGGATTTGATAAGTTTGGTAAATTTGTATGAGATGGTGTGTGTTACAATCCATTGTAGTGTGCTAATGTGCTTGAGGCTAACTCGCACAAGTATACAAAGAAAGAATATGATAAATAGAACGGGTCCTTAATTTAATTGTCTGAATTCTATTGTCTAGGACCTAGGAAAAATAACTTTACATTCTTTTAAGTTAAAACATTCAATATATTATTTTTAATATATTTAAAATACATAAGTATAGTTCAATAACTTTAAAACGTTAAAACTTTTTACTTTAAAACAGGTTCTATTATTTTAATTCTATTAATAAACATATTAATATTTTGTCAACAAATTAATAAACGACGATACGAGTCAGGCGCGGTACGTGGTGCGCAAGTAAAGAAATTAATAGTTACAGAAGTAACGAATTACAATGTACATAATATACATATATATTCCAGCTTAATAAACTGCGCGATTTACCTAACAGTAGCCTAATGTTACAATAGCTGTGTTTCAAGTCCGACAAATAATCGGCGCGCAGTTTATTAAGTTGGAATATATATGTATTATATTATATACATTGTAATTCGTTACTTCTGTAACTATTAATTTCTTTACTTACGCACCACGTACCGCGCCTGACTCGTATCGTCGTTTATTAATTTGTTGACATTTTTACGAGTCTAATGACATATTTGATTAATATTTTGTTCTCAATACGATTTTAATTTTTCTTATACCTTATTCATCATTTCAGCAATGTAATCAAGAATTAACTGTTTCTATAATTTTTTCTGATAATCTAATTCTATTAATATTTTTATTAATAGAATTAAAATAAAGACCCGTTTCAAAGTTATTAAACTATACTTATTTTAAATATTATTAAAAATAATATATTAAATGTTTTAACTTAAAAGAATGTAAAGTTTTTATTCCTGGACAATAGAATTCAGACAACAAAAATGAAATATTTATATCTCTATGTAGAGTTGTATCTTACTAAAGATAAAAGTTCCATAGACATCAGAAAAATTATAGAAACAGTTAATTCTTGATTACATTGCTAAAATGTAAAACAGATACAAGAAAAATTAAAATCGTATTGAGAACAAAATAATGGCATTTTAAAAATATAAAGCTTTTTTACAGATTTAAAAAAAAAATAATAATAAAAAACTAATACAGGATATTTATACATGCAAAATAAAAATAAAGAATCGTCTTTAGATAGGGAATAAGTTAATAAATAAGTTCGGCATGTGTTTCCTTTAATCCCTTCCCCAAATATATTTGTCCAAGATTAAATATTTTGTAAATTAGTTCAATCAAGCTACACGTGTATATATAAATATATTTTTAAATATGTGTATATAAAATAGAAGTATTATAATACTTCCTTATAGGAATAGTTTTGAACAAATTTTGAAATTTGCTAATAATCACATAAAATTATGTAAACAAAACATGTAATATTCTACTCTGATTTGTTTCTTCAATTTGTTTTTAAAAAATAATTTTACGGCACACATACTAAAGAAAATTATTCCCATATATATATATTTCTATATATACATTTCTTTTAATTATATATATATATTATATTCTCGTATATTTCTATTCTCGCGTACTTGTATTCCTACATATCTCAACCAAGTGTACCGACCTAAACGTACGCGTAATCTTATCTTTTACAGGCTTTTACCGAACAACGGGGAAACTAAATCCAATCGTCGCCGATTGTATAAACGGTTCGTTGCGTTTCATTTTCGCGAGTGTCGTTCGAAGTCGTCGGATTATTCGAAATTCCGTCGTTTCTCTGCCGTTCGAGCCCGCCGGAAATAATTGAACGTTAATTCACGTTTCGGGATCGTCGCGTAAAATATCGTTCTTTTTTAATAATTAGCATATAACTGCGTCAATTTCCACGTTCTCAGAC